ATAGCAGCGGCAAATTTCCAAGTAATCATTGCTGTCAGAGTAGTACCTAGAAAGATCAAGAAAACATAGTTCATAATCAAAGTACTTTGCATCTCTTGGGTCTTCCAAGAGCAACTGATATGGTAAACACAAAATTGTAAAGTTCAGATGGATGCTAACCTCAAGCATTCAACCAAGAAAAACACACCTACATTTCATAGTTGCACACCCAATAATCTATCTATAATATATTGACCCAGTAGTTATTTCTTTTCTCCTCATATTGGAACTTGCAGGAGAAAAGATCCTTTCAACCACACTATTTCCAGACCCTAATGCACTCAGAATATGACTCAAGAATTTCTATCCACCTCAAGTTCCTGTACAAACTGTTTGACCGGCAATAAGTTCTACCAAGTTAAAAGTTTAAAATAGGTCAAATCAAAGGCATGTTCTTCACCCTATAACCCATTGAAGAGGGTTAAAAAGTTTTGCCAATGAATACTAATAAACAACCAACAGAGAGGTGAATGTTCATATATTTTCATTTATAGCAGTCATCCTTTCAAAAAACAAAGCCAAGTAATTTACTTGAGGCCCTTTTACAGTTTTACTACAACTAATTCCCTCATGTCAATTCAAAGAGAATACCTATTTAGATAAATAGCTTACCAAGAGAATTCTTGAAGATTTTATTTGACATGCATCACTGAGCAAATAAAGAATAAATTTCAAGACAGATGGCACAAAGTTCCAATTAACAATCAAACAAAGGGGCCCAAAGGCCCATAAAAACCCTTAACCACCAACTTAGAAACATGCTGGAAATAAAAAATCAGAGGTATAAAGAAAGAAACTGTAAATCGAAAGACATCATCCAAAATTCATAGATGTTAATCACTTTATGCACAAGTGTACAACTAAAATATGTAATAAAAGATGGTCAAATTCAGAGAAAAAGATCAACGTATCTGGCAACGCAAAATATCAATCAATCAATCATCTCCAAAAAAATTAAAGTAATAACTGAAAAAAAGGGGTATAAATGCCACACAATTACCGTATCATTAGTTCATAGTAGATCCGCTTCAACTCCAACAGAGAAGGGATGTCTGCAGGAGCCTCTTCAACAACTTGGTCACCTTCTTTTGGTTTCTTCTTCTCCTTTGTGGGATCAACATCAAAAACTCTTGGATTAATCTTCCTTGAGAGGATCTGTGCACGAACATAATCTTGGCGATCCAAGCAGAGACGAACCTACAAAGTTTAATATACAACATAATGACACAATAGCATCAAACCATTGCCTAAAAGATGTCACACTAAAGAAAATATTTTTTAAAAAATGATAATATTAAGGAGCCAATACTTGTTCAAGTATGAATGCAATTTTCTCAGTTTTTGCCATGGCACCAAAAGTTTCCACCTGTGGTTCAAAACAATTGAAAAGTTAAGACAGCGAGAGGGAAAACATGGTAATAATCCACATAAAAGTTAGTACAAAATAACTGAGGAAACTCACCGCAACTTCTTGCATAAGATCTGCAGCTTCAGCAATGAGGCCTTGCTCTTCCTTAATCTTTGCAAGTTTCTTGATCAACCTTGCTCTCTCAATTTCAACATATATCTACAATGTATAGATGCTTATCAGAAAAATGTCTTAAGATAATGAATTGCACTGAGTTAGATACCCAGAAAGCTAGTAGCACTTCTTCACCTTCCCAGCAGACACATTGTTCAGGGTCTTGATGAGCTCTATACGAGTTTCAAGATCTGGTGTTTGATCAATGTACTGCATTGCTTGCTGGACCATTGAAGTAACAGCCTGTGCACACACAAAAAAAATAAAAATAAAAATAAGGTAAATAATTTTTTTAAAAAAAAGGTACTTAATAAAGCAAACAAATACATCTGGATAGGTTGCAGACAGAAAAATTCAAAAAATAATATCAAATAGATTTAATCAAATGGTACATGCATTATGTTAATATTTAAAAATACATGCAAAGACATAAATTTAACAGAATCGCATAGAAGATAAGATTCCGCCACATTTCTATCTGCTAACCAGACTTCAATTGAAGACACAGCACAAAATAGAAAATATAATAAAACAAAAAAACTAAGCCAAATTCTCCAATTTAATCTTTCTATTGAAATTTGACAGCAGCAGCATTAATCTGTTTGTACACACATGAAGAAATCACAATTAAACATTGGTGAAACTGAGAACAATCACAAATCAATGTGCCTCAGTGCCCAGATACCACATGTCACATGCATAAGCAGACAAACAATCACATAACATAAACAATAAGAGAAACAACAGTCAATCACCAAATACCTTTATTTTATACCAGTTGGACCCCTATGAGGCATCCATAGTGGGGAATACAACAATCGTAACTTTATTTTTGTCTACAAAACTTAAAAAGGAAAATAAAAAGATAATTTTGCAAAGCACTCCATCATGTAGACAATATGAAACATTCTCGTTGAGGTCTGAAGTAAAAGGCAATGGCTATTAACAGATAAATTTTTGCTTATCTTTTCATTCATTAAAAAAAATCTACTCAATATTTCCAAAATAATTATTACTTGCATTTTTCTCCATTAAATATGTCAAGTATCAGTTTGATCACACTTCAATAAGAAGAAATCTAAGTATTCTGAAAGAAATATAGAAAGATCATACCACAAAAACCAGCAAATCTGCTCACAATTAATATGAATCCTTACAACAAAATACACTGAACGGCAAACATTTAGTTAATTTTAATTAGAAACTATATAAAATTCTACCAAACCCAAATCCAAGCAAGGAGATAAACACCCAACCGAAATTTAGACAAATGTAACACTAATTGCAAAGACAAACCTAATGAAAACTAGTGAAACCTTATACAAAGGGTACGAATCAAAGAGCCGCAAAACTAAAGATTGATTTACCTGCTTGAGTTGACCGCGTTTCTTAGACAGATTAAGAATCTGCTCATTGAGAGCTTTCCAGTCTTTAGCTTCAAAGCAGAGCTGCAGAATATCGGTGACAGCCTTCCTGGTGCCGGTAACATCGCCGGCAAGTCGCATCTGCTTCTCTTCATTCAAAAGCTTCTCTATTGCGACGTCCAAATTACCTCTACTCTCCTGTAAATGCCGCAGGGAAAACGGACAAAGAAATCAGAGAGAAGTCACGAAGAAGAACAAGATTGTATTACGAATTTAGATCTGCCAAAGCACAAGCTTACCATGTTCTTACGAGAGTCAAAACCCTAGGAAAGAGAAAATTGGAGATGTCGAGTGAGGAGGAGAGAGTCTCTGCAAAAGGTAGCAGAAGGTAAAGACTAGGGAAAGCCTAAAACCCTTCTCACAAGAAAGGCCGATGCTCTTACTATTAAGCCCGTAGGTCCATTAGCCCGATCCTAATTTTTTGTTGGGCTTGTCAAGGTCCACCACACGATACAAATATTATTGTCAAGAGAGTGTTGTTTTTAGCCGAAGGCTAGCCTCGGTCTCGCCTCTCTATTAATGGTTACAAGAATCGTATGGTGAATTATACTTTAAATTTTTATGTTAGATAAAATACACAGTACGTTTCTAAACTAGTAGTAGCTCAATTTTAGATTTTTGAGAAAAAAAAAGAGCTTTTTCCTCTTTTTTTTTCTCTTTTTTTTTTTTTATATTTGCTGCACGACATGAGCAATTTTTTTCCATTCCTTATCGTACCCTACGCGTATACTGTACGATTCAAATTTAAGATTTTTTATTTATAATAAAAGGAATTATTATTGAACTATTTAGGTTGCTGACAAAAAAAAAAAGAAAAATTATAAGTAAGTAGAAAAATAAGCTCTGCCAACACAGCCAATAATGGTGCATGAGATTGGCTTACTAATTTCTGAAAATGGGTTCGGACAAGCCGAGCTGACTTTAACTTCTGTGAGTAAAGTTCTATCTGAGTTTGCGGTCGAGTTCGATTAAAATTTCTTTGGTGGCTCACCACTAAGCTTGACTTGAATCTAAGTTTGGTTTCAAACATGAATTATCATATCAAATGGAGCTAGGAAGTTAAACAAGTTCATATAGCTCATATTGCAACAAATGTTTCAAAACATAGTGTCATCCTTTCTTATATTTCATACACTTCCAATCGAATCAGAATCTAATAAAACTTTTGCAATTCATTTATGCTACAGGAACCCCTAAAATGTTAAAGAAGTTTTCTGCATAACCTACAAAGTTTCCCTTTTCTAGTAGTTGAAATAAACTTGTTACACTTTCTTGAAAGAAAGCTCCTTAAACACTTGGTTTACTGGTGATATGCCAGATCACCTTTTCCTCTTTGACGAGCTTCTCCTTTCCGCCTCCCTCTCTGCAACAAGAACATGAAACTCTGAACCAAGCATCTCATGTATATCGATATTCAATGAGATGCTTAGGCCAACTGTCTCCATGATGACCTCTGCATCTACATGGAAGCCTAAAGTAGATAATACACGGATAGCATTGGCAATTCTGCATATGTTCTGCCGTGTCTCTAGAGGAGTATAAGACTGTTCTTGTTCCCGACCCTGAAGACTTGTGGCTTGTTCAGAATTATTGACTTGATCCTTGATCATACTGTCTCTAGCTTCAACATGCTCACCAATCCATATGAATCCATTACGTCCAAGAATCAGGTCTATTCCATAGTTTTCGAGGTGATGGAAATGTTGCTTACTTCTCTTCACTAGATATGGATCTATCGTGAGCAGTTGACCCTTCTCAAGCTGCAATACATATTGATTTCATCAAGAATTGCACAATTTTAAAGGATAAATAAACTAACCAAGACAAAAAGAGCATTATGAGTACAGTGCAAGACCAAGAGTTTGACACAGTAAGATGTTTGATGGACAATAATACAAATAGCATCACAGATTAATCTCCTTGTGTCTCCATATTCCTTGCAACAGAAATCTCAACATCCAAACACATTTTGTTCAGA